AAAGACTTTAAAAAATAGTGAGAAAAGGAGTGCAAATTTTATCTGATCTTGAATTTGGTCGCAGACATGAACTCCACGCACAATATCACTAGTGACTACACCATTGCCACATCATGCAAGCTCTCAACCAATGTACACTTATATGTACATACATGTACATGTACTTATTATGAGGTCCCATCTGCACAAACACAGCTTTATGCCAAAACACTGCTCATGTGGCTGTTACTCCTTTCTGAAAAAAAGAAGAAATGTACACATTGTGTGGCAAGAAAAATATATTTTTTTCTGCCTATACATTTCGTGTTTTAAAATAAGCAGCAAATTAAATTTATACTTTTATCTTTAGCGACATACCAGTAAGTTCCTCGGTAAAATCAAATCAAAAACTGGCACAGATGCCCCCCCCTTTTGGCCAATATGTGGTCTTCAAAGTATGGCTGCTTTCTGCTCCCCCTCCCCCACAGTACAGTCTGGTGCCACCACTGATGGGAAACGTTAGGGATATGAATGATTGACTGCAGGTGTTATAAGAATAGCACTGACTACCATGTGTTTCCTCATTCCATTCAAACTAACCCTGACCTTCATGTCAATTTGTTAGCATTGAAGTTAGTGATTCAGCGACAACAACACCCAGCCTGAGCATTTTCCCATATGGACTGGTTTCTCCAAGGGGAAGGCAAAATGCATCTCTTACACAGAAATCGCACAGGACACAAGACCTGTTGCGTAATATTACAAAGACCACATAATAAACCCTTGAAATTGCAGCATTGTGTTTCAATTAACCTAGTTTAAAATTTTTGTTTAGCTACAACGTATTTTTTAAATCTGTGTTGGGGCCTTATTGGTTTATTTGCTGATATAAATTTGCATATTCATGAGCAAAACTGTGATGTAGTCTGAGGAACTTAACCTCAATGTGTTCCATTGATTTGTGCACAAAAATATTGCGAGATTTTTCATACTTTGCTATCGAAGATTTCCATTCCTCGGGCAATTTCTTCTTGAAATATATGGCAGTAAGTCAGCGAGTAACCTTTTTCTCAGAAACGGTTTCAAAGAACATATTTAGTGTTCAAATGTGAACACAAAAACTTGCAAACTGAACAGTGCCTTCTGGTTTTACATCACTCTTACAGTGCCCCCACTTGTCTGGAAAAGATTATTCAATTTTGAATGTTTGGAAAAGTGCACTTTACAATTCACTTCACTCCAAAAAGACTTCAAACAGTTTTCATACATTGAAGAAGCAATTAAACATGCACAAATATAGATTCATTACATTGATCCTTTCAATGTGAGGAAAACCCCAATCCTTGTAGGATCTTGAAGTTTGTCGGATTTACGGGGGACTCGGACTTGTGGCCTAGTTGTCATAGGCTTTGTAGCTCAGGATCATAGGGTTCAAATCCAGCAGATGGTTATATCTTGTGACCTTGGGAAAGTCACTTCACCCCTTCCTGCTTCTCTCTAAGTAACTAGATACCAGTGAGGGCTGAAATACATGTAGTGTATTTAGCTGTTTCCACCTGCAAGCAGCAGGCTGTATGCTTACGAGGCAGCTGGTTCCAGGACTGTTGAAATGTGAGCCAAATGAGCAGGGATAATATCAATTTGTCGGCACCTTTGAATATGTTGTTGGAATCTCTGCAAGTTTGGAGTGTTCTGATGTCATTATTTCAATGTCTCACAAATCACATTCATTCTCACTAGTACAGTGTAATGCATAGTGCACACTTGGTAGCCTTGCCCTTTTTAATGATGTAATAATACATGTACAGTACCTTCTTGTTGCAGTGAAATGGTTAAAAGTTAAGAAAAGAAGTGGATCATATGTGGGTGTAAGTTAGCAAATTAATTGGTGTGAAAATATTAGTGACAAAGCTCAGAAACTATTTTCCAATTTTCCAATCATTTTTACATGGAAGTTATAACTGCATCCAAACAGAAATTGAAGATTGTCCTTAATGTTTCCATTATTATATAAATGTGTTGAGTGTAAAGATCATTCCTCATTTATAATATCATACACAATGAATCATTATCTCACAAGTACCATTCCCAGATGAGCCCTAGGCTACAGGCCATGTTTTCTTGCCTGTCTCACTGGAAAGTTGCTGCTAAGCAAATGCTGGAAAATTGAGAATTCAATTTGGAAACTTATTTTTTGGATGCCAGCCAACTACATCGATGTAAAGGACTACTGCAACTAAATTCAATGTAACAGACTTACAGTTAATTACAGAGTACATGTGATCCATTTTCATTTTGGTCAAATGACACAGATCAGCAACAAAACAGAAATGTTTTCAGAGATTTTGTAAAAAACAAAAAACCGAAACTTGTTCAAAGGTTTCGTTCATTTTCAAATGACGAAAAAGCAGATAGCCTGGTTAAGAAATGGCCTAAAAATAGGACAGGTTTCTAACCACAACCCACAGTCCATTGGCATGCAATCTTGCCAGATATGCATATCAAGAACCGGCACATAAAAACTAGCACGATACATCATTTTCATTGTCAGCCATGCCTGGTCACAGAAATACACCGTGGCGTCAGGCATGTGTAGCGTAATAATGACTCTGTGTACAATTTATCATCTATTGTTGGAAAGATATTTTGACAGCTCTTAAGTTTGCTCGGCTCTTTACTGCTTTATAAAGTAAGTGTTCGGGACTTTGTAAAGTTTGGTATTGTTTCCCTTGATCCATCCATTGGAAAAGGGGCCAAGTCAAGGTGATATTTCAGGGTATTATTTAATTTCTTTTATTTCTATTTCATTTCATGGTAATAAAATAGCACAAGCACCAACCATTTGAAGGATTGTAAGTGACAACTGACATGAAAAAAATGTTCGGTTTCAAGGATGGAAAACCTGGACAAATATTCCAGGGAAAACTCACAGAATTAGGTAAGGACTAGGGACTGAAACCCAAATCAACAAGCTGACATGGACTGGAACCAAACCTCAAGTCGCAGAGGTGGAAAGCAAGGAAAGTGCCACTATGCCAACCTAACTCCTTGTCCGCATATGAACTAATCAGGCCAAATTTGCTAAGATTGACCATAATGGCCAATGCCTGTCTACTGGTACTTTCCTAGTGTGTGATCCAATGGTCCACATTACGTTTCTCCAGTAACAGCAAAGACATAACAGTTTATGTACCGATAAAGTCCTTTTGTCCTCATCTAACATTCTGACTTCCATCATTCTTGAAATAATCAATCCACACTGTGTCTCTTTTAAACCCATGGGAATCTGTAAATACTTCCCAAATCCTACAGTTAGGTCTAAGTTCACTGGAAGCTACAGCAGGTGAACTTGTTTCCAACTGACCCTTTGAACTCGCCGAAATTGCAAGCCAGCATTCCGGTTGGATTTATCTCACGGTAGCATAGCCCTGCTGTCCAGGTCTCAGCCCTGATCTTCCAGACTTCCCTGGCCATAACAGCCCAACTACAGCCCCCAACCACACAAACATCTCCGCAGGTGATCAAGAACGACCAAATTAGATTTCGTCCCACAGATCGGCAACACATCCGCCGGATCCGAGAGACCATTAGGGGGGGCATGGGGCTGAGTACTGTTTGTCCCTGGTATTATCACTCAGTGGCTTTGTGGAAGTGCGCCAGCGCAATCAGAGTTGGCCAGAATTAGATTGTTTGAAGAACAAATTCAGAAGGGAAATTAGGAGCAAATTGGTTGATTGCAGTTCAGGATCATAACTGATCAAGAAATTAAACTTGCCCATATAAAATGATTACAAGATCTCCTTAGGCTAACCAGATCATATTTCCACATTTCTGAGTAGAGCAGATACATGCTACTTTGGAGTCAGTTCCCATTACAATTTGAACAGTAACAGACAGCTGGTGTAAGGAATACAAAATTGTAAATTGTGGCCAAATCATTGGGGGTGGGTTGACTGGACAGAATGCTGTTGTTGGTCATCCTACATTTGCAAAGACTGGCCTGCCCGGAACTGACCACACCTTGCATGAGGGGGGTCCACATTCAAGAGGGAAAACCAGTATGGAAAAGCAAGTATACTAGAGGTGAAAACAACTGGTTGATGAACTGCTTGGCATTCAACTTGTGGAAATGCTAAAAAAAACCTGCAGGGAATTACACAAATAGCTTGGTTGTATGGGATTTCTGCATTAAATCGCATCTTGATTCCAGGCTCTAGGAACAACTGTGCAATTCTTACGTCTAAAACCAATATGCTCTGTGATGACCAGTTTGTCAAACCATCATACAAACAACAGTTGAATTTGCTTCACCCACTATTCTGATTTTTTTTTCTAAGTCTGTAAGAGCTAGGAAGGAACTCATAAAATCTCAAAAGTGAAGAAGCATTTCATTATCCTGCATGTACATGTACAATCTAAGCAGCGAATGTCTAGTGCCAAGTGCTGATGGATTCTACAGAATTTTACACATGCTAGTTATTGAAACTTCACAAGCATCCATCTACAAAACATGGATCAGATTTGATATGCTAAAATCCAATATGACATGACTTTAGAAATTACATGATTATTTTGTAAAAACTGTGGACTTCAGCAATGCATAGCATTTAAGAAATGTGTCTTAAACTTCACTATTGTCAAAATGGGCCACTGGGCTCATAAGGAAATCAAATTAACAGTAATGAAAAACAGGTTCAGGTTGTGCTTAAGTATTGGGCACACATGAAGACCTTCAACATTCATCCAAATGAAAACAATTCCAACAAAGAATTATGGAGGTACAATTGTCTTCTCATTCCCCGCGCCTTTCAAGTACTGGCTAAAACAAAGGGTGGGGCCAAATGGAGATTTCAGTCTGTGACCTCCTGAGCATCAAACTGCCAACCCAGAGCCAGTCCTGTGTTGGCAGACTCTCCAATTTGACAATTTCTCCCATCATTTCTTCCGGGATTACCAACAATCTTAACTGGTTAAATGGACACGTTGCTTCTTAGCCCTTTTTCCTGTTAAAAAAAACCCACCTTGTTTTTGACAGAGGAACCCGGATTTTGTTTTTGTGCTTTTTCTCCTGCCTTATGGCCATCATTACTGTCATCCGCTGTGGGACGTGCCTCTGAAGGACTCGAATCCTGCCAGGCAGCCTGCGCAAACCAGAATCACGTTCCTTATTCCTGAATCCAGATCTGTTGTGCCATTGTCAGGGCAGAGGCAGAATTACACACAGAAAGAGAACAGCACCCAAGATGAGGTCGCTGACTTCTGATGACAGCAAGTCAACAACTTGTAGCTACAAAACCCTGTGATTTACTTACTTTTGAATCCCCCCATCTAACCATTTTGCCAGGTAACGCATGTTGCACACTGTGCTGGATGAAATAGCCAGATCAACATAGTGATGTATTATCAAATGCCCATTATTTTCATTGAGTTTTTCAGAGCCAAGGATTACTGAGACAGTGCTAAAAAACATGCACTACTATTGTTAACCAAGGTACATGTAAGAGAAAGAAGAAATACCAGTACATGTATATGTATGAATAAAAACTGTACCCTGAGGCTAGAATTAGGGAGCGGGATAGTCTGTCTACACAGCAGGTAAGTTATTCAGAGCATGACGGGTACAGTTTAGGAGGGCAACCCTCTTATTGCTCATTGAACTCAAAGAATGCTACACAAATTCCTCCTGTGATGGACCATGATGATTGTTCCCAGAGCAAAGTACACAAAAGTACAGGAAAGAACTTGGCACCTGCATGGTTGTCTCATCATAGTGGTGACCCTGTATCTTGTCAACAATGAATAATCCAGGCCATTAATTTTTGCTTGCAATACAAGGCTGGATTTATGAAGGTATTTCTTGCCTGAGGGTGAATTTCTACCAGAGACTTTTTACATGATTGTGGAGCTGGGTGGCAATTTTAATCACTCTGGGCAGGACAGCCGTCCATTTCCGGGAGGGGGGCCTAGATCCTTTGGGCCAGAGACAGACAATAATCGGATACTTTATGTCAACTCCAATGAGCAGAGGTGTGCTAACAATTGCAAGATTTGTTGCCGGTGCCTAGAGAGACTAGATAACTTCCTCAACTGGGGATTGGAGCCTGATGTGCTCAGATTAACTACACTTGGCATGCTTGTTTTCAATTATCGGATTTAGGTATTATCTGTAAGTATCAAAGTACAAGACATACCCGGTAATATGGAGCAAGTTTTTAAATAGAAGGTACTGTATTATCTAAGGGTGTCACCATGGCTGCACAGCTATCAGAATCAATCCCAGCTAAATGTACACAAAAAAGTTTCATTGAGAATGGTGGTTTACATGAATAACAACATTCATGTCGTGAATTCTGAATTCAACAAAAATTGTTCTGATGACGAGACCTGATGGCACAACCCCACATCATGATGTCATCCCTTGGAGTACTGCACAGAATGTTCTCGAGTGGGCAGTACACCCCAAATGGACAGTCCCACAAGTGTATTGAAGGATAATTATACGTAGATCAAGACTGTCATGCTGCCAACCTGTATTTAGCAATCACAGAACATAACTTGCCATTTCATAAAGCTATGAAGCAATATTAATGTCTCACTATGACTGTCTAACGGCTTTCTGTAGAGGGCAGCAGGTTATGTGAATGGCCACAGAGATGCTGTGCTGAAGGGTAGAGATCATAAGACGGTAAGCCAGTACGCAGGCCCCAAATATCCTGCGCGAACCAAAACATGATTTGCATGCAGTCAAATGCTCTGCTATTTAGAACATTTGGTGGCATGTGAACTGGATGGCATGGTTTGTAAAAAAAGATGGAAGCTACCAGCAGGCTGGCCAGCTAATATCTCTGAAAATACTGGACAAAAGGGGCTCTCCAAATTGCTTTATTGGAAAGGGAGTGTAGGCATCAGTGGCTGTTTTTAGGGGTAGATCATCTCTGGAAATAAATATCTTTAAAAGTTATGGTGACAATTCAATAACAATGTGGGTCCGAGTAGACCGGGGAACTTTAAATTTTTTTTCCTCCAAGATCTAAAAAGACTCCATAAAGTATCATTTCGGCAAATGTCTTTCAAGTACTGTCTAAAACCTCATCCCAGTGGGTTTTTTCTAAATAACCAGGCAGATCAAATTATAAAATTGAACTTGAAGTAGATACATTACAATATTAGAAATAAGGAGTGCTTAAGGTACATGTACCAGCACTGATGCACAACCTTCTAAACTCTGCAAAATCACCAGGGAATTGAGCACAATTTGTGGCACGCTGATGGACTAATGACACTCTAGCATGTTGCCTGCTTCAGCTTCAGCTGACGTCAGATATGATGATGACAGATCTTGTCCAGAAAAGTTGGACACTGCATTCCCTGCTGGGAGGCTATGCTCCAATGACTTCGACTTTCAGCTGGGGTGACAGATTTCATTTTTTTAATACCTTCTACTGGTAGGTCTCATCACAGAGTAAGAAATTCCTTGGGCAACCTTATATTATCTTTACCGCCCCACAACTTAATTTTAAAGGGGATGTATGTCTGAAAGGTTTTGCACGTGGCCATGAGGAACTACAACTTCAACAGAGAAAGGGAAATCTAAGGCTAATGCTTTCAAACCATTGCAAGCCACTCAACTGAAATACGACAGTTTCACACTAGACACTTGACAAGCTCATTAACAAGTTTAACTGAGTTAAGCAACAGAAAATATTTGTTAATACACTTCGCAACATGTATGTATTCATATTTCTATGCGGTTGGCGGACTCTCTACCTCACAAACCCAACATTACATGTACATTTGATCTAAGCAATGACATACATGTACATGTACATTGAACTCAATGACTTGGCCAGGTCAAAGGTTGCTAAATTGAGGAGAAGAGGCATGTTGAATATCATTTGCTGGCTTGATTTAAACACTGGAAACCCCTGTAACGGTCGTGCAGCACAGTTTCACCCCATTTGAACCCAACTTTGGAGAACCAAGCTCCTTGTTCTTGATAACCCTCCTAAGATGGGGTTAGATATAAGACCAGATGAGACCAAAGGATGTGAGTCACATCACCACGTCTGCTGGCAGACACACCTTTCCGGAGCTAAGATAGGGGACCCATGACAGTACATGTACATGTATGTCCAATGTGGTCATGTTCCGGTACAAGTTGCCAGGTGTGTCATGAATGCAAGGGGGAAATGGGCAGACAGCAATCCTAACTGTCTGCCCATCTGCTTCAAATCCCTTTGCATTCAGGTTGGCTGTTTCAAGTTGTCCAAAAGTACCGTATGGTCGCAACTAAATTTGTGACATACTGTACGTACGTACCTCAGTATAATCTCATTTTTTATTTTCAACATACAGGAACCACAGACCTAATGTACATATCTCACAGGATTCTCCACAAATGGGAACAATTTTCAAATTTTGAAATCTTCATGAAACTTAAAGAAACCAGGAAATGAATTTTTCTTAGAATCACTTTTTGTGTATCTCTGTACTCTTCTGCCGTGTATGAAGACTGTTTGACATCTTTTTTGAATTATGTGACCTGAACGGTGCACTTTTTTTTGAAATATTAAAAATTAACCAATCACATCTGGACAAGTGAGGGCGCTCTTGCTTTGATGTAAATCCAGGAAGACATGGTTCAGGTTTCATGTTTTCATGTTCAAATTGTGAACCCCTAATTTGTTATCTGGGAACATTTCTGTGAAAAGCTGAACTATTGCCATAAACTTACACAGCAATAAATTGCCAAAGAAAATAAAATCTGCCATAGCAGTGGTTAAAAAAATATAGAAATTTTCTGTGCACTTATCAGTGCAACATTGAAATTCAAAGCCTTGGATGACATCATAGTTCTGCTCATGAATATGCAAATGTATTAGCATAAAACCAAAAAGCATCAAAATATGAGTTAAAATTGCAAAACAAAAATTTAAAATCAGGTTAATTAAAACCCAAAGATGCAATTTCAAGGGTTTTTAGTAAAATTTATAAAAATTTGTCTATTTCCTGGTTCCTTTCTTTTCTGAACACATGCACGCTATTCCTGTCAATAGAAGTTGTGCATTCACTCAAAAATATTACTGGATGCATTTTTTGGGCCACATGTGAGATTTTGTATCAAAAATTGAACTTTCTCCATTAAAAGTAAAATTACACAAGTACAATTAAAGTGTTATTTTTTCCTGACGTTATGAAAACTACCAATACTGTAGGCCTACCTTTACATATATACCTGATACCTGATCAACGTGTTTATGGCACACATCTTAGCAATTTAAAATGCAACTGTCTCTTGAAAGTCATACTGTTTAGAGGACAGTCTAATCACTGAAGCAGGCCTATGATACCGGTACCTTGTCATGAACTGTGTCCCCACATACTGTACATGTGTCCTACATGTACGTGTAGTTCTATGCTTTATTAACACCTGAACTGTTTAAGATCAAACACCAAATTTTAAATGATTTTGAAGGGCTGGGGAGTGTACAGTGAGGGAATCTCTGGCCTTACAATTGCATTGGGCTAGATGTTTACAGAAAATGCCAGTTACTGCTGTATTCTGGTTGATTTTAGCAGATTTGGAGAGGAAAAATGGTTGCCCAGGAAGTTGAGAATAGTACAGATTGATATAAAAGGACTGGTCACTGGAAATGTCAAACCACATCAGCCCTGCCATGGAAATGAGCCACTTTTTCCTGGTCCTCTGTGTATGTCAAATATTCTGTTATCCATGTCAATTCATCTTTTTCAGTTGCCTCCCTGCCCCTCCCCCTAGGACTTTAACCAGATGATGCAAAAGACTACCCTTGGCAGGTTGGGAGTTAATTTTCCAACACATACAGTCACCCATAATCCATCAACAGTAATGACTTGAGGGTCACTGGCAGATTCTGTCGCCAACAAATGAGACACAAACATGCATTGCGGAAAAAATATCTGTATTAAAATACGTTGTCTTACTAAACTGATGCCTATCAGGTTCTTGCCATTTCATATGAAGTCATTACTGAGGACATACAGAATTTCTGCTTCGGAAAGCATTGATGAGGGCTTGCTGCTTGAGAGCAACAGATCTGAGAGATTGTGAAATACGGCACAGCCTCCGATCTTGGCTGGGAGCCCAGCGCTAATCCCCAACTTCATTCCTTTCATTTCCCGCTGGCCTTTTCAGCAACCTCCGCGCAGTCACAACAGGACATCAAGTCAAATTCTGGTCATGATGAATATTCTCCCCCTCCCTCCCACCTCCGCCTGAAAGTTGGGGCAACTCCTGTGACAATTCTTGACGACGGTTGGGGAGGAATGGTGATCTGGCACTTCCTCCATCTGAGGAACCAAATCATGCCTACGGCATCTATGCTCTCAAAACTTACCGGCGCTTACAAGTTCCTCTTTCAATGTTTTGCACACTTAACAACTTCCCTGGACACAAGTTCCACAACACATACATAATGTGAATACACGTACAGCAGTGAAAAATAAAGAGTTGCTGAATTGAAAGCTGACGTAAATAAACCTTATTCTAGCTGTGAGAGTTGGTTTCAAATCTCATTCCAACATGACAGCCGACCCCAAATCACAGCAAATAAACTTGGTGGCCATAAGATTTGGCTGCTTACTAGCAAATTTGTCACCCATCCAATAGGGAAACAACTAGATTATATAGATTTGGAGTTATGAGCACATGTACATGCAGGTCTACATTGTATTTTAGTTCTTGGGGCTCAGGCTTTGACATTAAGAAGAATATGTCATACATGAACGGACTTACTACTCAGACATATCTTTTATTTACCAGCACTACAAGATTGAGTTTACCCTTCCAGAAGAGTTGCATTTTTGTCATCTAGTCAAACATCAGGATATGCAAGTACACATTGCCTGCTCAAAAGAGCCAATGGATGACACACTCGATATCCATCCCCCCCAATCAAACCAGGGCTTTCAACATGCATAACTTACCTCTGGATACAACGGGTGGAAAGACACATCAGAGACAACATCAGTGTGGCTAGAGAGTTTGTGGATATAGGTGCCTGCCCTGATGTCAAATATGTAAGCCTAAAATACCAAAAACAAAAACATTGAGTATGCAAATGTGAATACATAGTGCCTTCAAATTCCTCATACATATAGATGAGTTCCAATTACTATTATAAAGTAGCCAGTTTTACTCTGGTATTATGCACCAAGAGTATATTTTATTTACACAGTTTTAACCTTTGTTCAGTCTTCTACAAATATTTCATCTCCAAAATTAACACGTACAATATTTCATTTTCTACCAGTCAATGCAATTTTGACATGCTAATAAGTTCATGTACATTGTACATGTACAAGATGCAAAACAGAAAGTAATGGGTTAGTGGGAAAGTTACAGCAGTGCTTTCGTATTGATTGTGAATTTATACCATTGGCCAAACGACTTAAACCTAAGTCTGTTCTACATGTACATGAACATCTTACTGGAGTAAAACACAATTAATTTTGATCGTAGTCATTTTCTGTTCCTGTTTGTAGTAAAACATACAGAGAAAAGATTCTTGCATATTTGGACTATTAAAAAACAGTCCATACAGCCTGCATGCCAATTTGTTTGGAAAGGATTTTAGGTCATTTATGCAGTGGCCAAAAATTTATCACTGTGGCGGACACACTGTCAAGGTCTAGGTAATTTCGGGATGCCCTTTCAAATAATTTGTTATCAATATCAAATTGTCTCTTGACAACTTATGCTATCTGTAGAGTCTTTTGCTATCATGTGTGTAATAATAATTACAGGTTTTTATACAATCCTACTTTTACTTTCCATTATTTATTGCCCCGTTAATTGGCCCATGAAACATCCCACATACATGTACCATCTCAGCTCCCTGGGGAGTATACAGCTCAATGCAGCTATTTTAGTGCAAAGCAGCTAAATAAACCACACTGAATAACCATCTCTGTCCTCACAGGTACCCAATTACTCCTGAGTGTGGAGAAACAATGAGTGACACACACGAACCATCACCACGAGCTGGATTCGAACCCACAATCTGTGACTTTACCCACAGACTACGAATCCAATGCTGTTGTCCCAAGACCACATCACTCCTCACGCTAGTGATGCATGTTTAAACATGCATTGCTAAGTTTGTAAATTAACACCCACAGGACTGTCTTGAACTTGAAACAATGAGAAGCTAAAGGCTGCCTTGACATTCACATCCAAAGATCTGAAAAAAGTCTCAAAATACTCTACAATCCTCAAAACCTCCCTGACCCCTGCAAATTGGGGTCTCTCCCCCTTTCTGATCCCAACCGCCCCCAAAAATCTGATTCCATTTTTCTTCAGTGTCATACATGACCCCTGGTGGATATTTTGATAAATGCTCACCACACTGGGGACACCTGAATGGCAACCTTAATTCATAGCATACTGGTCAGCGTGTTCATTTGGGAAAAACAATACACCCGACTGGAAATCTGCAGGAAATTTATCCCACCTGTTACCAAGCTGCCTACAGACTGGCAGTTTCTTCCTGTTCATGTTTTGTTCCCCTCAAATACTTTCAAGGATTTCTTCTTTTCCTCTTTGCTGTCACCTGTCTTTCAGTCAGAGATTGCAACATTGACTGATAGGTAGGAAAAACTCTTTCCCTCTTCAGCATTTTTTATACTCTATTTACATTAGCTCAGTGAAAAGAATGAGGAAGGTGAACTTATTGTTGTGTGATATGGCTTCTTATAATCCGCCTGTCTTGCCATGGCAACTCAATTTTCTTTACAATTTCGAATTTCAGACTTGTTCCACTTGAAAAGAGGAGTGGAAAGCAGAAACAAGAGGGTAAAGAAATTCCAAGATCCAATTCCACTCAGCATTCAGTACAGAAAGCCTGCTAATGTCAGAAACAGTCACAAAGAAGTCTCCATATGGCATGCATTCTGGCCAGTAACCAGTTTTTACTCTGCAGCTCTTTTCTCTACTTTTAACAGAAATTTTCTGGCGCTTGAATGCTCCATGAAATTGATAGCAGTCAGACAACTGGAACCAAATCACTTTAAAACAACACAGCATTAACAGCAGAATTCAGGGTAATTCTGTGCCAAATCATACAAACTTGGTAACCTTCCATGGTGTGAACAGACTCAGATTTGCCACCAAAAAAAAAGTCATTTTTATTACTATACTGCTCTCATTTTCCAAGGGATTCATTAAGTTGATCACACGTTATAGGGCTGTGCTGAATATCTGAATAACCGAATATTCAATCAATTGTCGAATATTATTTTTCGAATTTGAATATTCGAATGCAACAGTTATGAAAAGGAAGCGAAAAGTTTCTTTTATTACATGAGAAACATTGCACTATGGAAGCTTGTTTCAAGCAGATTCAAGTGAAAAGTGTCAGAAATCTTAAAACAATTGCGAAAGTAAATTATTCATTATCCACTAGCTGCCGGGTGCAGTGCACACATACGGTCAATTTCAGTTTTCGAAATTCTTCAAAAATTCATCATTTTATTTAATGGACATTTACACCCACACGAATTACTGTCTGTTGGACAAATCTATTGACACCCGAGTATTTCAACCAGGTCTGCAGCCTTGTAAAAAGAGCCCAGATTGTGCTGTGTTATGTAAGTTTCTTTTGTTCCCGAAACCGGCACAGTGCACTGATGGTGTCTTTTCAATACAGGCCAGATTAGCATGCAGCGGTATTGTATCGTTCATCGCTGGAGTGCTGGAGAGCCTTTGTCCCCGGTGGTAATCTGCTTGCGCTGAATGCCACAAATAGAGGTATGATCTTTCAAAACAAGGATGGATTTCCTCCGATATTGACAACTAAAATAATGTTGGCAATCCCCAGCAACTCAGTCTTTTGTGCCAAGCATGGTCTTTTGTTACAAGACCCAGCTCTTTTGTCCCTGTTTTGGGCTCCCCGGCTTCGTGTATAAAGCTTATGTGCTTGAAAACAGGTCCCCCGGCAGCAAGTGGTTAAACAATTCAAAAAAAAGAAAATTTTCAACTGGGAAAGAAGTCTTATTCATCTCTTCAATCTTGCTAAATCCTGGCTGGAGATTTGAGAAGCTATTATATTGATCATAATGTACAATTGCGTGTGTGTTATTGCAACTGATTTTGTAGATGGTTTTGTTCATCAACAATCTGCCAGTCGGTGTGACCGAATATTCAGATATTCGATCAAATTGAAGGTCGAAGGTACAAATAGTGAATTATTCGAATTGACTCAGCCCAAACACATTATAAGATAATTATTGGTTAGCAATAGTGTAAAGAACTTTTCATTTAAACTTGAAATTGATGAACGAGGTCCACTGAAAAATGAAGCACCTATCAAGTTCTAAACACCTGTATTTTTAGGATCCAAAACTTCAGCAAAACCTGTCATTTTTCATGCGGTTCACAGACTAATGAGAACATACAGATGATTGTTTCTCATGATACAAAATACATCCCGGTGTATTGCATGAATTAACTGAGATCAAGACGATTGGAAGATGGTTAATTCTCTGGACTGTCACATAATTTGTTGAACGTAGACAAAGGCAAAGAGTATTAGCAGGGAGAAAATCTATTTCCACGTGGAGTAAAATGAAATGTAGAGCCTAGAGGTGGATCCACCTTAATACCAGATACATCGACATGTAAATAGTACATGTAGGACGAGTGAAAGATATTCTTTCTGAAGCCATCCAATAGGAAGTTCTTCATTAATTTCAAAGTAAAATGTGACCCGCTCTGCAAAAAAGGTGTATTAAATCGTAAATGTAAAAATGCGTAATGGCCCATTCCATGTGCGGAGGGTGAAAATAGTTGGAAATATTTTGAAGCTAAATGCTTGATCAGAAAGCCTCTGTTGCTAAGGAAAACCAAGAGAGTGTCTAATTTAAGTTTAATGTTTCTGTTTGTTATGTATAAAGGCATTATCTCAAAAAGTATCTATGATACAATGAAATTATATGAATATGCAAAAGGCAAATAACTCCGAAACTCAAAATGCCACTGGCATGAATAATTTATCAAATGAAAGCTTAGGATGTGAGCAATTTAATTATATACATGAAACTCAAATGCAAAAGAATGTGACATAATACACCTTTTTGCAGAGCCGGTCACAAATGAACTTTTCTTTAACCTCACTAACTGATCACAAAAATCTTACCATGATTGTAACAAAAACTATCTTTAAAAAACATTAAATAGACTAAGGCAGAAATCTCATGATTGTAACAAAAACCATCTTTAAATCATTTAATAGACAAGGACAGAAATTTTCTCACAATTGTGACAAAATTTTGTTAAAAAATCATTTAATATACAAGGACCTGGATGATCAAACAAAGGTTTTTAGTGCTTGAAAGTAATGATACAACAGGCTACTTTAAGGGGTTGAAAGCTCAAATCTCACGGGATGTGCCCACAGGGTCAAACAGTGGACTCCAATGGGTGGTCAGTGAGGTTTATTTTGTCTTGCGCTATGTTCCTCTGTCATACTCGTACATGTACCTCCAATGATTATTCAATCACCATACAAATATTTTGATACAAGGTAGAGTACCTAAATATTTAGGAAAAACCATAATCCTTCTGAGTCTAATTTGTTTAAAATTATGGACTCCCAAAATTTGGAAACATCAACTGAGCAGCGTACAATTTAGGATTTTATGGGGCCTTAAACTCAGATTTAAGGAGGTAATTGATTTTGTATTTGTAGAAGCTAAAAATATGGGAATAATTAGCCTTCACACTAGATTTTCAACTTGCCATCTCTTTTAATAATGAACATATACCCCATATACATATACATGTAGGCCTTCGGAGATAAATAAGTAGTTATTAGTCACGGTGCCAACATGTGGTAATGCACCTGAAGGCAGTGCCACATTTTGCCAATAACGAGAAAACCGTCAAAGACATCATGCTGAAACTTCACGTGCACAAGGTATTTATAGGAATTTTTTGGCAGGCAAATCCGAGTCGGGTCACATGGGAGGATGTTTGAATTGCCACGGAATGACACCTTAATGATACACGAGTTGTGCATTTTTTCAAT